CGTCTCACGTCTCTGTTTCATTTCATTTCAGATTTAATAAAACATCACCATAATGCTGAAAATAGTCTTGTCTAAGTCTTCTCGATCGACTGCAATGCAACATCAATATGTTCCGTTGAAAAGTATTTAAGTCAGTGGTCACATACAATCGTTTGCTGCTGATGTTGCAATAAAACGGGTTCGGGAACGATGCGCACGGACAGTGTTGCGCACGGATTCTTGCGCACGAGGAAACTTGCGCGTGGAATCATGAACACCGGTATCTTACGCACGAGCAGTGTTCCGCACCGGAATCTTACGCACCATGTTGTTACGCACGGACACTTGCGCACGTATTACACAATGAGATAGAAAATCAAACTGATGATGTTCTGTAATCAGAGCTTCTTTTTAATCTAAAGTTTTTGAAGAACATAATTAATTATTGTGAATATACTAACTAAACGATGATGTTTCATAAACAATATAGTACTATAAAATATAGTTCTGTGCAATATAGCGCTACACTACTATACGATTTTGAAATTTTCTGTAGCGTGACTTCTCAACGTGAAATGACTATAACTACGAAAGATCGACCACTAATGGTTGACGACGGATATTCGTATGTAAAAGATCGTCAGACAGATATAAAAACGTACTGGCGCTGGGAGAACCATATACGTTTTAACTGTCACTGTCGTTTACATACATGTAATTTAACAAATGATATATTAGAACGAAAAAGTATACATGCTTATAATTGTAATCGTGATACGACGAAATTAGTATTACGAAAATTCGACGAAAAACTAAATAAGAGAGCAACATCAACGCAAAAAGCAACTGATACAATTCTCTGCCAATGTTTAACGTCTGTTCCTGATACTGTAGGTGCTCGTTTACCAGCATTAAAACATGTCAAGATGTATTTGAAGCTAGTTTTTCACATGCGACACTATCAGGCTGTTATTTTCATTTACGTCAAAGTGTCCATCGACAATTGCAAGTACGGTTACATTTCATGATTGCATCAATTTTCTCTATCTACTTCTTCATTTTTTTGTAGACACGTGGCTTTCAGAATCGTTAGGAAAATTACTTAGGTTTTGCACAAAATTGGTCGACTTAGTATAGAATTATATCCATCGTTCCAAGAAATACTTGATTACTTTGAAGGTATCTATATCGGTGGATTGCGCTCTAATGGCAGCAGAATTTCTAATTGACTTTTCGAACGTTCATGACAGAACAAAACCTTCATTAATGAAAACAAATAATTCATCTGAAGCCCGTAATCGCCGTATTGGTGAGTAATAGTTTCTTATTCTTTAATTTTGGATTGGCTGTTTTTTTTCGATGACTATTGCACTCTCTTGCATATAGGCTGTCTATTTCAATGTTCTCATCCAACATTATGGAAATTCATTGACAAATTATGTGATGAGGAAGACTGGGTCATTCGTACAAAAATTTTATACGCCAACACTAGAGCATCAATACAAAAAAAGAAGAAATATCAACATTTAGATAAACGTTTATTAAATTTTGTGTTAAATCCACATGCAGATATAATTAATCAAATCAATAATCTAACTCATAATATATTTCTCTTAAATAAACGTCATCTTCGTTTAGTAAGTTTATTCACAATAATTAATTATGTTCTTCAAAAACTTTAGATTAAAAAGACACTCTGATTGCAGAACATCATCAGTTTGATTTTCTGTCTCATTATGTAATACGTGTGCAAGCGTCCGTGCGTAACAACATGGTGCGTAAGATTCCGGTGCGGAAAATTCCTCGTGCGTAAGGTACCGGTGTTCATGATTCCACGCGCAAGTTTCCTCGTGCGCGTGAATCCATGCGCAAGAATCCATGCACAACATTGTTCGTGCGCATCGTACCTAAACTCAACGAAAATTACCCATGTTTCTATTCTCAGCGCTCAAAATTAATTATTGCTATAGCTTCTTAACCATTCAACTGTATTTTATTGCAAGTCTAGTATAGAAAGTTGAAGTCGTTAAGGAGCTAGAGTAAAATTAATCTTGAGCCATGGTTGGGACCCATTGGTAATCCGCTACTTTATGTAGAAGAGCAATATCTGTTTACAGCTTTGAAAGAAGTTCTTAGTCAATTCTGTCCTAGTAATGACATTAATTTTGGATTTGTGACAGATAATGGGAAAGATTTTTTCATATCACCTGTCTTTTGCTCGAGACAGGTATTTTGGAGCAAACTCCTGATTAGAAAAGTTGTTCTGAATCGAATTTCGGAGTCACTCACGAGAGCTCTGTTCAAAATTCTTTTCCTAATTTTTAAATTAAATTTTACGGTTTTGAAATTTTGTGTTTTTCAATTTTAAGTTCGAAAAACGTGTTTCTGAAAATTGTAAAAATATTATATATGTTAATATAAGATATAAATAAAAATGCCATATCAAAACCACGTGAAGTATATGATAACCGTACAGCTTATTCTCTGCAAGGTATGTTCGTGAAACATATATACTTGCATCCCTTTGCCTTTTATAAATAAGAACAACGCACATTTTCTTTCTTACATGCTGATAAGAACTTCTTAATTCACAAGGTAATAATTTCACATAACAATGACCTTCGGACTTCGCAATGTGGTCGGTATTCACCGATTGCATAGTGGCCATATGGGCAAGTCAAACGCACTTCTACTTCACAATTATGATAAATGGCCTAGATGGCAACAGAAACTCTACGATTACGTTCTCGGTTGTCAAGTTGTACATTTACTCGAGATTGTTGTTTGCCTAATCTGCTGGCTCTCCCTTTTCCCGAAAACGTTCCCCGATGCGAAAGAATGGCATCTCGGCTGGGTATCAAAGGTGATTTCGTTCAATTTGGCGTGTGAATTCATTCTGTGCTCATTTTGGCACTACATGACTTATGCAAGTGACTACGCCAAGGGAAAGCTGAAAGAAAAAAAGTTCAGTGCGAATAATCAGTACGAGACGGCGGGGCGAGCGGGGTTCTTTTCCTCTAATCAACTCCAACGGGAGGTTGTGTTTACCACTCTTGGTTGGCTCCAGTCGTCACTTCTCCAGTGTTTAATGATGTGGTTATGGGCAAATAAGAAGATTCCTGTCTACATGGATTTCTGGTCTTATCCCGTTTACTCCGTTTTTCTGTTTCTGTTCATCACCTACTGGCGAGCATTTCATTTCTATTGGATTCATCGATTTATACACCCATGGTGGAATGTCAAATTCGGTTTAAGAAATGGGGATTTGGGAGCATTTCTCTATCGTCATTTCCACTCTTTGCATCATAAAAGTTACACTACAGGGCCATGGTCGGGTCTCTCCATGCATCCCATTGAACATTTGTTGTACTATTCGGTCGCATGGTTTCCCCTCATCATTACTTGTCATCCATTCCATTTCTTTTACACGAAATTTCAATGCGACATCTCGCCGATTGGTGGTCACGACGGATACGCTGATCCGGGTGGAGACGCTGATTTTCACCACCTGCATCACACTAAATTCGAATGCAATTACGGCGTACCACTGCTTGATTTTGATCGGCTTTTTGGCAGTTATCTTGATTACAAAGACGTAATGAAGAAATCCACAGTCGGAGGTGAGAATTGAAAGCAGTCAATAGCTTTGTTCGTTGTTTGGGATACCTTTAAAAATTATTTTTCTCATGTATATTTTTATAATAATTGTAATGGGCTACAGGAACTTTTATTCGATTAATTAATAAATCTTTTAAATGGGTTGGTGAAGGCGTGGTCGAAGGCGATATTCGGAATCAGCGTGATCGATTGCCTGTGGGTCCATGATTTTTAGTCCGGGGTACTTCGGAAAACATTCCGATACATTTTATACTGTAGGTGTTGCTGTTTCGTATCGATTAACCTTCTTACGCATAACATCAATATTTTCATATCGTTTCTTTAGTTTACTGAGCTACGAATCTATACTCTTGTCGTCTGGTCTACTACTGGGTGATCCAAAAAAGCTTAACCCTTGTGCATTTATTGACTTTCTTGTGTACAAATATAACTGAACTTCTTACCATTAGTTTATTCGAATAGAGCAAAGATTTCTGGACGAAATGAGACGTCTCCGAGCTCTCGAAGAGCTTTTCTCATGAAACAGCATTCAATTTACGGAAGGTCCCATACCACCAAAATCGGGA